CTTCCTTCCTTCCTTCCTTCCTTTCTCTCTCTCTCTCTCTCTCTCTCTCTCTCTCTCTCTCTCTCTCTCTCTTTCTCTCTCTCTTTCTTTCTTTGTTTCAGAGCTGAGGACCGCACCCAGGGCCTTGCGCTTGCTAGGCAAGTGCTCTACCACTGAGCTAAATCCCCAACCCCTGTTTTTGTATTTTCAAGACAGGGTCTCACTATGAAGCCCTGGCTGTCCTAGAACTCACTATGTAGACTAGGCTGGCCTTGAACTCACTGGCTGTCTCTGCCATCTGAGTGCTGGGATTTAAGGTGTGCGCCATGACACTCAGCTGATTCTAATTCTTTGCGATGCTAACAAGAATGAGGTCATGACACCTGTCCACAGAAGGAGTGTCGGGGAAAACCAGAGGCCCCCCCATCTGAGAGCAGCAAGTTTGGAGCTGATCAAGAGAAGCAGAGAGAAGGAACATCCCAGACCACCCTGGCCCAGCTGCTGCCTCTGCAGTGATCCACAAGAGAATACAACCCAGGTCCAGCATGCTGGCTCATTTCCTCTACTCCCCACCATCATGGCTCCCCCCGCCCCCCACCATCATGGCTTCCAGGCTCCATTGGTCAGGCAGAACTCTGGCCACCTCACACTTGGGGACACAGTCCCTGAGGGCCTGTCCAATGACTCACAGAGAACTAGGGTTGTGCCTTCTGTCCCCTACGTTCATCAAGACCACACCAAGGTCAGACTTTCACTAGAATCCCAGAACACAGTTGGTGGTTGGGTTCCAGGAACTAACCTATGATCTCTTCCAGTGGTCATGGGGATCGGGAAGGAAGTACTTGTTCTCCGTATGTACTTCGCAAGGCACTGAGTGTACCTCAAGAGGAAGCAGGGTGTCCCCTCCTGCCTGTAAAGAGCACCAGAGTCAGCACTGGCGTTTCCATGTCTCAAATGTCTCAACCTGAAAGGGACCCACTGGAGAAAGTTTGAGAACTCAACCCGTTCCAGTTTAGATGACAAGGGTATGAATTCATACAGTGCAGCGGTACCCACGTGGGAAATAGGCTGTCAGAAGCCTTCTGTAATGGAAGACTCACAGTTAGAGCACCAGGTCCCAAACTTCAGTAGCAGTGACCTGAGAAAACCTGGGTGTCTGGAAGGCAGGCAGGCATAGAGTCCAAACTGCTGCACAGAGCTCCTTGTACCAGGGGCTGTGCAGGGCAGTTACTGGGCATCAGTTGCTCTCCTGCTGGGCCCATTCACAAAGTTTTTATCCTGCCTGCCCTGCCCCTCCCTTTGCCCAGTCACAAGCCTTTTTCTTGCCTGCCTGGCCCCTCTGCAGTCCTGGGGAAGGTTCTGGTTGGGACTTGTCCAGCATCTGCTTCTGGGACCACACCCAATGAACCACAATTAGATCATCCAGGAAGAATTTTCCAGGCAGTACCTGTTGGCCTTTCCTAGTGGGCAGGCAAAGCAAGGAGGACCCAACCAAGAGACCCTCAGTCTTACACATGGTCTTACACTCTTTGCAGCACATGGACAGCCAAAAGGTACCTGTTCTCATTTGGTCATTGATATTGTCCTGTTCCGGTAACTGATTCTCTGACCTGGCGTCCCTCTTTTCTTGAGAATGACTGGCAAAGGGTACAAACCTCCAACCTCCCCCGTGTCGTTCTAGGCACTCCAAACATCCTAGTGCCTCAGCCTGCTCCTCTATGCCAGAGGACTTTAAAAAGCTGCCTGGAGCTGCTCTTGTCCAAAGCCTCCAGCCATTAAATGCCAGGCTCAGCAAACAGTTCCTGCTGTCCCCATTACCACAGCTAAGAGTTATAAATAATTCTGCTAAACCCCAGGTGCTCGCTCCCCTGACGTCCACCTGCCCCAAGCTGCCTAACAGCTGTAGACTAGACAGCTGCCTTGGTTTACTAAACTAGAAAAACCACTGGCCTGAAATAGGGATGGAGAGCTGGTTCCATTACGAATAAACCACCGTGGTTTCAACGCCTCTAGACAGAAATACCCCATGGCCATGTCTGGGGGAGGCCCGCAAGCCTCATCACGCTAAACTCTGGCCACTGAGGCTGGGGACTCGGCAAGCTGCAGGGTTCGACTGTGTCTCTATCTCACTTCCGTACACCTGCAGATGCTGACCTCTCCCCGGGAAGAAGGAGGTACCCTGCCTCGGGTTCCCGGGTTTGGAACCAAGCATGCCAAGCAGGCACCAAAGCGGCCGAAATCCTCGTTGGCGTTCACCTGTGCCCGGGGACGCCCGTGAGCGGCATGAAGGTGCCGGGACTCAGGGACCCAGACATCTGCGCTCTTCGGAGGGACAAAGCCTGCCGCCCGTGAGCAACTTTTGTGCTTCACGTTTTCCTCTGACTTAGCAACAGCCGCCGCCGCCGCCGCCGCAGGTAGACCTGTTCCTGGTCAGGCCAGCAGGGGCTTGATTCCGCGTGTGCTCGCGGCCCCTTACCCAGGCTGGCAGCCCGGGTGGCTCCCCGAATGCAGTCCTGTGACCCAGCCCTCTCCCATCTTCCCTCTCTCTCTGGCGCAGCGGCTCTGCTTCCCGCCTCTTCCTTTTCTGCAGACTCGCAGCTCCCTCGCAGGCAGCTGGCAGCAAGGAGTGAATTCTGCATCCGGCTCCCTCGGTCCCGCCCTGTCCCCACAGAGCGACTCCAGGGTGCCTCACCGGTGCCCGGGCCTGCTTCCCGCCAGACATCGCACCCCACGCCGCCCCGGCGCCGCCGCGCTTCAGTCCGGCCTCCGCGAACACCTGCCGCACTCCTGACCGCACACCTAAGAGGCGATCTGAGGCGGCGCCAGACCCTGTCCCCATCCTGGTCCGCATCCCCAACGCTGTTCAGGTCCCAGAGTACTCACCTTCCTGCGAACCCGGCTGCCGCGCTGCGCCTTGCGCTCTGGCCTTCGCGCGCAGCCCACTCACGCTTCATTCATCGCCCAAGCCTCCCCCGCTGGGGTGGGGGTAGTGGCTTCGCCACCACCGCCAATGGTAGCGCGGTTCGGGCGGGGCCGGGCCCGAGGTGACAGTGGCAGGAGCGCGCCAGGGCGGGGCCAAATGAAGGGGCGGGACCTGGGGCTGCACAGGGACAAAACAGAGGGCTCGACCTCTGCAGTGCTTAACCTGCGGAGATTTCTTGCCGCTAGCTAGCGCCACTGACGGTTGCAGGCTAGGAAACCTGGCGTCAGGCTAGGAAGTTAGGGCTCAGGCCTTGCTGCGTCGTAGGTTCCACTTGCGTCGGTGTTCGCTCTCAAACGTGGAACAGAGGCTGTGGAGGACGCGGGTGGCGACCCGCTCAGGCGTAGGGTACAGCTGCAGGCTCGCAAAGGGCGCTCCTCCCCCCACAAACCCAACCAGGGAGCTCTCCTTCCAAGGGTTCAGGGCAACTAGGGGCTGGACTAAGCTACACCCTCACCTAGGGAGCCCGTAAGGTTCCTGCCCCGGGGCCTCGTCCCAGAACTCGATCTTGAACGTTGATGTGAGATCGAGAGGGAACACACCAGTCACCTTCAGACTGAGGTGGTCTCTGCTGTGCGACCTTGAATGTATTTCTGAACCCCTCTGGGCCAGTTTCCGCATCTGTAAAATTAAGCTCATGTCTGTAAGCGCATACTCAGGAGGCTGAGGCAGGGAAAAGGACCCAGTTCCATAGTGTGTTCAAGGCCAGCCTTGGCTACAGGGAAACTGGGTCTCAAAAAAAGCAAACAATGTTTTTTTTTTTTTAAGTGATCATAGCACATCATTGAAGGAAGCGGAAAACAGTGGGTGAAATAAGACCTGCTGACTTTGGCCAAGTAACAGCTGGCAGCCTCTGGATATCACCATCATATCAACAGCAGACGGCAGAAATTTCCCACAAATTTCTCCCTTTTCGGTTTAGCACATTTAATTGAAAAGATATAGGTGAGCCAGGCGTGGTGGTACACACAGACAATCCTATCCCTGGTGAGGTTGATGCAGGAGGATCTCTACTGGGAGGCCAACCTGGGCTAAAAACAAAAACAAAAAAATAAAACCTTTCCCTGCCCCCAATCTGGACTGGGGAAGTGAAGGCAGAAGAAAATCAGTTTGTGGCCAGCTTGGGTTACTCAGCAGGACTATCTTAAAAAATAAAAACAAAATAAAAGCTTACAAAATCCAACTCTGTGAGTGTGTGGATCCTGCAGTCAGCTCTGTGAGGACAGGTACAAGGATACACTGGAGACAACCCCATAGTCCCAGCTCCCATGAGCCTCAGGGGCTAAGGCAGACCCCTTCCTTTATATACAGGGAAGGTGCTGGGTGCTGGGCTCAGGTCTTCATGCCACACTCAGTCAGTTATAAAAGTGCCTTCCTTCCTGGAGTGGGTGTGATAGGTACTTACTCACATTTTGTCCTAGGAACCTCCGTTGATGTCTTCAGGGTCCAGGGTCTCTACTCAGCATGTGAGTCTCTACTCCATAAAACTGAGCTTCAGTTCAGTTGTCCCAGATATTGGCCTCCATGGTCAGAGAGGGCCTCCATGGTCACACTTCTCCTGGTCAGAGAAGAACCCCAGGAAGAATAGCAGTGTGGCACTGTGGGATATACCCCTCCTTGCTAAAGCAAATAGAGCTTCCTCTCTGAAAACACTTCCCCCCAGGGTATGGACTGTTCAGGTCTGAAGCCAGAAAGAACTGGTCAAAGATTCTTTTGAGAGGTTGTGAGTTCCCCCCCTTCAGAAGGTGTGAGCAGAAGTTGCCTGCTTAGGAACTCATGGAGGCACTCCAAATGTCAGGAGCAGGCTCGGACACTGTGCTTCCAAAATTTAATTTTGGGTACATCTCTGAAACCAATATTGGTACAATGTTTTTTCTTTAAACATCTGGTGTGTTTTATGAAAAGGGTAAGTTTGTTTTAAAGAAGGTAATCAGTGTTGATTACTATAGAGAGATCACCACAAAAATAGACAAAAAGTAACACAGTGATATTAAGTTCTAGCCAAACAGAACTGCTTGCTGAGGGGCCTGAACTTTAAGCCAAACAGGAATTCTTAGCTTTCTTCAGACATCATCTAAAGATGATTCCAGGGCAAACATTCAGGTTTTAATGCAAGACACAGGCCCTGTCTTGCCCTTACAGGCCAAGCCACGTACCCAGGCCCTCAGGGCCCCTCAAGGTACCTGTGTGTCCGAAGATCTCATCTCCTTGGCTGTGCCTGGCCCCTCAGGTCACTTGGTATTTCCTGTGATTAAGGACTAGAAATTCTCAAAGATTGATCCGATTGAGATTTCTATCCAGGTGTCCAGGTTCCTGACACCAGCAGAGAAAGAATTCAGACACCAGACTAAGTAAGGAATTGGGAGAAAGTTCGTTACAGGGAGAATTCAGGCTTCTTGAGAAAGGTGCATCAGCCAGAAGCCTAGAGTTTCAGGGGCAAAATGTAATGGATGGAAGATTACTCATGAGTTAAGGTGGGTGAGATGTGGGGAATTCCAGAAATGAGTTGAAATTTCGCCTTTCTTGTCTTTGTATGGGGTCTTGAATGCAATGTGGTGTCAGACACATGATGAGAATGGACATTTTTGCTAGGTATCGTTATAGGAACCCAGGGCTGAGGGCTGTTAGCATTCACTCATCTCATCTCTCAGGCAGCTGTGTTGGCCTAGGCAGTTTTGGTGGCTTGGGCCTTGACTGCCTGAGACGGCAGCTGGCCTTCTGCCTGTGGCACAGCCTGTGTGTTTGGAGCCGTGTGTGCCTTCCTGACCTTTCTCAAAAGGGACAGAGATCTGGCACTTGGGGCCCAGTGGTGGCCTCCTTTGAAATGGCTGCTTCCTCCTTCATCTTGCCAGGGAGGTACTGGGAGGTCCAGGGCAGAACCCCCAAGAGGTCAGCCCCAGGGTACCACAGCAGCTTGGAACAAGGACTGGCTCACTGTGAGCTCTGGAACACTGTGCACTCAGTAAGTTCTATCCCAGCAGGGGTTTTGGAGAGGAAATAACTCAAAGGAAAAGAATCCAAGTAACCCAAGTTCTGTTGGGCACCCATGGTCCTGAAGCAGGGCACTGCTGTGTGCTGGGGGTCTCATGGAGCCTCCAGACAGATTCATTCATCGGCGATCGCTGGCCCCTGTCAGAGCGTTGGGAGGGATCCCAATTGCTGAAATGTGAACTCACGCTATGCTTGTTCTTTCCCTATGGGCGTTACTGTTGTGTGGACGTTGCCGGTGCCAGGACAATTAATCTCCAGATTAGAAGGAGAAGCCAAAGGGCAGGGGAGGGCCAGGTCACTGAGAGGACATTTCTCCAGGGCATGGACAGGGGGGTGGCCCACCTCCAAGGCCTTGGGTCTTAGTGCCCCAGTCCCAAACTAGCCTATGAAAATCATCTGTTGGCGGTTCGTTGAAGGGTGTGACTTCCCCCACTGTTTTTCATCATGGTGTCTGCTTTGGTGGATTTTGCATATATACTAGCTGAATCATTTAAGTGCCCCAGTTCTTCCTTTTCTGGCTTACAAAAAGACCACGACACCCTAGTGACAGTCGGCCCATGTCTAGGAAATGTTGAAAACATACTGGCGGCAGCAGAGCCGCGGCCATGCCCCAGAGTCTCTGGGGGATAGTTATTTTTAAATGTTTAATTAGGACTTCTGAACTGTTTGGGGTAGTACACACCTGCCGTCCCAGTGCTTGGGATGCTGAGGCAGGAGGTTTGTCATGAGTTCAAAGGCAGCCTGGGTTACAGTATAAAACTTTGTCTCAAAAAGGCAAAACAAATAAATAAATAGAGTTAGGACTTGACTGCTTTTGTTTCTTTGGTTGTTTGTTTTCTGGCCTTTGGTTTGGTTCATTTTGCTTTTTGAGACAAGCACCCCCAAACTTGCTTTAAAGCTGAGGGTAAATCGAATTCATGATCCTCTGGACTCCCACACGCTGGGATTATACATGTGTGACACCACATCCAACTATAGGACTTCACTCAAAATTCTGAATGAGGAAATAAATCTTGAAGGTTGGAGGGGATCAGGGTCGAAGGTGAAACCTAGCATTGAGGATGTTTAGAGTTGGGTGTGTGGGAGCATGCCTTGATGTATTTGATAAGGAACTGTGTTAGTAGATACTCGGATGGTGCAGTCCTGAGGTGGGCATGCCAGAGAAGAGACCCTCAAGGTTGGAGTAGTCTCAGGCAAAACCCAGCTCAGAGTTGTCCAGACTTCTGGGATGGTGGCACCACTTTAGAAATTAAGACTGCAGTGTGAGGGGCAGCTGTAAGTGACCATAACGGTCTTTGGTAGCAAAAGTCCTTCTGTATTCTGTCCTCAAAATTCTAATTCCACCCTGGAGCACCATTGGAGCATGGCGTGGCCTGAAAGCTCTGCCTTGCCAACCCTGGCCTCAGACTCCATTAGCATCCCTATGCCTCGGTTTCTGGTTCTTCTCACAGGGCCCGGCCTCAGGCCAGGCCACAGCAAGCTGTCCGTGCAAACTGCCATCTTCCTACTTCCTATTTTTCTTCTTTGAACCTTCAGTGTGAACTGAGACACTGTCTTGCTGGGTGAGGAGACTCACCAGTTCTGTACAAATACTGTTAATTAGTCTGTGACCACTTCCGGCAACAGACAGACCTCCACTGTCCTTGTTCTGTGTCTCCTGGAGCAAGATGACCAAGAGGCAAGCTTCAATTACATCTTTGTTTCGGAGACTCTGTACTGCATAAATCAGCTAGCCCCTGGATCAGAGCTGGCACAGTGGAGCTGCCCTTCCTCCCAAAGGCTGTGGTGTCAGTTCGGACTTGCTCAGGAAGTAAACGTTTAGACAACCCACTCAGATAGTATTTCATGAAACACACCTCAGGCTCCTGGGATGGCAATGGAAGCCTAGGCCAGGAGAACATGTGCAAACACAGAGTCTGGCTTATCCCACCATGTAGCCAGACTCCAGTACCTACCTAGGCATGTGGTACTATGCTCTAGTACCTACCTAGGCATCTGCTTTTCCCTGATTTAAGGTCTTGGGAAAGACCCAAGTTTGATACACACACACACACACACACACACACAC